AGGCCCATCAGAGGACAGGCTTGTCAGCCACAGCTTGCTTAGGATTCAAAAGCACTGATTGTGAAGGCGAAGATTGACAGATCTGACTACCGTCAACCCTTGATCGATGTGGATTTGAACTGCATCGGTTTGCTTGTGTGTGGACCTTTCCCCAAACAGACTTGGATTGAGGATACGCTATTCAGGTGGGGCGCAGTGCCTCACACCTCTAATCCCAGCACTCTGGAGAGCCAAGGTAGGTGGATTTCCTGAGCTCAGGAGTTCAAGACCAGCCTGAGCAAGAGCAAGACCCGTGTCCACTAAAAACAGAAAAACTAGCCAAGCATTGTGGTGGGCACCTGTAGTCTCAGCTACTCGGGAGGCTGAATCAGGAGGATCACTTGAGCCCGAGAGTTTGTGGTTGGGGACACCATGGCCCTCGAGTTGACAAATGAGACTTTGTCTCACAAATAAAACAAAAGAAAAAAAGAAAACACAGTATTCATGGGATTCAAGACCCGTATACACAGAGGGCTGACTTTCTGTGCATGCAGGTTCCTTGGGGCCTGCTGTGGGACTTGGGGTACCTGTGGATTTGGGTGTGTGTAGGGGCCTGGAACCGGTCCCCTGAGTACACTGTGGGACGACTGTGTGTTAAAGTCATGTTAACTTCTGACCACACCCAGCTGAAGAAACGAACAGACGTGTGGACTGGAAGATATTTACAGTTTCAGTACACACATATGTAAAGAACTTTAAATCACAAGAGAAAGGCCAACAACCCTGTGGGAAAGTGGACCAAGACAGGAGAAGGCGGTTGGTAGAACATAAAGAAACTTAATTCATTTGGCTAACGCATTAATGATTAACAAATCCAACCGACTTCAGAAGTCAGAGAAATGAGAATTCACGGGGGAGATGCCACTGTCTCAGTCTACAGGCTCCTATAACAAAATACCTTCGACTGGGCGGTTTATAACAGTGCGTTATAGCTGGGAAGTCCAAGGTCACAGATGGCCGTCTTTTGTCTGTAACCTTAGATTGCAGAAGAAGCACAGAGGCTCTCCCAGGCCCCTTGTAAAAGGAGATTAATCCCATTCATGAGAGCAGTGCCTTGAAAACCTAATCGTACCCCAAAGCCCCACCTCCTAATACCATCATTGGGGGGGTGTTAGGGTTTCAAAATATGAATTTTGGGGGCACACAGACATTCAAGTCATAGCACAGGCAAATAGAAATTAATGAATGTTACGGTAACAAGTGTTGGTTAAGATGTGCTGTGAGAAGGGGAAGTGGCCGGGATTACACCTGTAATCCCAGCGCTCTGGGAGGCTGAGGCAGGTGGATCGCTTGAGCTCAGGAGTTTGAGACCAGCCTGAGCAAGGGGGGAGATCCCATCTCTACTGAAAAATAGAAAAGCTAGCTGGGCATAGTAGCGTACACGTGTAGTCCTAGCTACTCGGGAGGCTGAGGCAAGAGAATTGCTCTAGGTATGATGCTGTGACACTCTACCGAGGGTGACAGAATAAGACTGTGTCCCAGCAGAAAAAAAGAAGGGGGCAAGTTAGTATATTTTTTGTGGGGGTTGAAAGTGGTTTGGTGTTGCCAGCATTTGCTGCAGTAATATGGACTCAAGGACCACATGTAAGGTTGTAAAAGTATCCATTGCAGCGTTCTTTGTAATACTGAAAAGGTGAGAGTAGCTTTGATGTAGGATCTGATATCCTGTAAGTAAATCGTGACATGTTTGCTTAGCACGCGGTGGACCCATCATGAGTTAACTTGTGTTTGCACTTGCATTTAGCTATTGCAATTTTTAAAACACAGGGCAACGTAGGGTATTGTAAAAGCTTTCTTGATTGTGTTCAGCCGTCTTGCAAAAATTTCAGCCATGATGGATTGTGACGGTGAAGAATTTTTCCATGAATTATATGCAGAAGCTTTATGGGATTGTTTAAGTGATCTTGAAATATTTTGTCGTGACCTAGAAAATGATAGTATATCAGAATACAGTTATGAATCTGATATTAGAACACCAAAATGGGAAAAAAATAAATGTGGTAGAATCTGATAGTGAAAGTAACTTTGAGGAAGAGTGGATTGAAAATGATAAACCAGGCTCGGCGCCTATAGCTCAGCCGGCTAAGGCGCCAGCCACGTACACCTAGGGTGGCGGGTTCGAATCCCCAGCCCGGACCTGCCAAACAACAATGACGGCTGCAACCAAAAAATA